CCCCAAAACCCCAAAACCCCAAAACCCCTCTTACTGATATCGAATAAATTTGAGTAATTTTTAAATAAAGTGCAAATTTGAATTACTGAATGTGAATGATTGTTTATTTTCAATAAATTCATTGAGATTTTGTCTTTTCAGCATTTGAATTTTGAGAGTTCATTGCCATTTTAACCTTAGTATTTTAGGCAGCGACTTCAAGTATATTTTCGATAGAGAATGGACTGAATTTCAATCCACCTCCTTTGTAGAATTTGTTTTAGAATTCAACCCAATGAAGTCTCAGAGTATGAAGGAAGACTTCCATCAAATCCATCATCATTAGTACTGAAATTGTAAAAGCAAGGAAAACGAAATAGCCCAAGAATAGCTAAATGATAATTTAAAGAATAATATTCTTACAACTATGAATGAGTTTGATTGAAGTCCTGTCTTGATTGTATTATCGAAGAATACCTTTGCAAGCTGAGAGTGAGCTAGAGATAAGGCCCAGAGTCTGAGATAACTTGCTGTGTTTGAAATAGTACCTAAAACGAACTCAATAGTCTCAATGAATTGATGAATAAATAGTTCACTAAAGTTATGGCCGTGCTGCTGTGATTTCTTTTATGATTGAGAGTGACGTTGTGTTTAATCATCGCCATTATTAATTGAATAGTAGTTGACGTTTTCTTCCTCAACAAAGTGATGTTGGTTATTTTTGTAGTTTTCATGTATAGGCTTCACAAAGAGCATGAGAGGAACACAAATAAGTGAAATGAAAAGTAAAGTTTTCATTATCATTGGTTGATTTGGTAAAACTTCTGTTTCATAGGTATTAGGATTTTACTCACCCATTCCAAGACACATTGTGATCATTGAGGTGATTACAGAGGGAGGTTTGGCATTTTTCATTTATGAAAAATCTGTAAGCCATTTCACCACAATAAGTAGATCCATAAATCCGAAAAGACAAATAAGTAGGATGATTTGTGGAATGAATTCGAAGATGAAGTCAATAGGCTTTCTAAATTGAACTGCATTAAATGCCTTCATGAACACTCCTAAGGCCATTTGAGTTACTCCTAAGATAACAGAAAGTTTCATCTTTAAAGAATTCATAAAAGCTAACTCATTCTTTCCAAGATACCATGAGGGGTCGACACCAAACTTGTAAATGCAATCTTCCTTAAGTTAGACATTTGTAGCAACTGTACCATGACCATGGGTAATATCGTAGCAAGATTCTTGAAGTACTTTTAATGGAATAGAGGTAAAATCATTGTAGAGGAAACCACAATAAAAAGCAAATAGTCCCATAAGCAAAAGCATATATCTTATTCTCCCAAGTTCTCCTAAAACTGTACCAGGCTTCCTGTCTGAGAAAATAATAATCAGAGAGAAGATTATCAAAAGTCCGCCATGCATAATATCTCCAAACATGACACCGAAAAGGAATGGGAATGATACTATTGCGAAAATTGATGGATTAATCTCTTTGTATTTAGGAATACTATAGGTATTAACAATTTCTTAGAATGGCCAGGTGACTTCATTAGTCTCAATATGAGTTGGTCTTATGTGAGCATCTTCGTCATAATTTTAGATCAAATGAATATTTGGACCTTCAACATGTCCTGACTGCCTAATTTCATTTACCTTATCCTCTAATTGTGATCTTAGTTTAGTGGGGCACCAGAATAGCCCTACTAGAATTTTATCTTGACATTTAAGTTTATTTAACTCACTAAAAATCGCTCTTTCTTTTATAGCAAACCATTTGAAGATTTGGATGAGAGAAAATTCGGTATTCTGAAGAGTATTGATTTTGATTAAAAAATCTTTGAGTTGCATTTTAGTTTCTTTAATTAGTATCTTTGTATTCTCTTTTTGTCTTTGGCACTCGACTAGCTATTCTGGGATTGAGTCTCTAGAAAGCTCAAAGAGGTTTTCGGTGAGATTTTAACAGATCTTTTTAACCTTTTCTGTGAAGTAGGTACCTTATTGAAAGACTACAATATAAACTAACTTATCTTTGTGATCATTAACATGGATCATTCTGTCTTGAGGTGGAATTTGGAAATCAAAGAAATGAACATATGCCTTTCCTCTAGTAGATCTAAACATCAATTTTTTAAAAGACATTTGCTCAGATTTTCTGATTGTACCTCCGAAATGTTGTATTTTAAGCATTCTTTCACCCAACAAAGATTCTCCAATCTGATTATCTTTCTGATTTTGACTTGGCATGTAAATATTCGAAAATTCAGGATCATCCATATAATTACTGCCTACCTATAGAAGTCTTGCTGCTTAAGCCAGCACATTGATCCTAGCTAGTAAGTTTCTGTAGCTTGATATCATATTCTCGATACCATTCGTTTATTACTTTAAAAACTTTGCCTTATCTCTAACTTCACTCTCTATTTCATTAAATAGTAGCTAAGATCCTTTTTGCTTTTAGATCTCAAATTCCTTAATATGATGTAAGAATTCATGGATATTAGCAGGTTGCTTCATCTCTACTCTATATCTCTAGTAGATCAACTCAATCTCTCTAAAATTAAAACAATCATTAGCTCATCTATTGATGACTATGTTACTTACTCGATGAGCTTCTCTACTTCTTCAGCTCTTCTCACATTGCTAAAGTACCTCAAGTGATGTGTTTGCTCTTCCTTATTCAGGTCTATAAAGTGCAAAAAGTTTGCACTACCAAGTTCATTCATAATAATCCAATCATTATCCTTGGGAATAACGATTTCATAGAGATCAACATCCTCTGATCTATTAGCATTCAAGTTAAGAGAAAGTAATTATTAAGTATTTGAGATAAATGAAAAAGAAAGAGTGGAAAATATGGTTACCTTGAAAGTCCCATATTTAAAAGTTTATAATAAGATATAGTTAATGATTTGACTAATTATATATTTCACTTTTAATTGTTTAATAACTACATATTGATTAATATTAAATTGATAGCAATAACTAACTATAGATTACTCATTCTTATCATAATATAACTGATGAAAAGTTCAAAGCGCTCATATTTTATCCTGGCTTTTAAATTTAGGAATGCCTTTAATTATTCGAGTGATCCAGGAGTTGTACCGATTACTCGATTGGTAACTGATCAAATATGTGCTATTTTTCAAGATCGAGATTAAAAACTCTGAAATCAGCACTCATCTCTTTTTTCTATTGATTTCGAGCAAGTTTTATCATACCCTTTATCATAAGTTTATTCTAATTAATATCCCCCCTTTCTTAATATTTTTTTCTCTAAATCATTAAATCAAGTAAATGTTGCTTGCCAATGTCAATATTCTTGTCTTCAATATCATTATTTTTATCAAAGTAGGAGCTAAAGTTAGTAGATCTGTCGAGAAACGAGCTTCTATTATGCTTAGGTTTGCTCTCTGTTGGTATTTTAAGATTTGAATGATACCTTGATTTCTGGGAATGAGGTGATTATCCAATTTCCGAGTTCTGTAATTAGATGCCTGACTAATTTGGAGACAGAAACTGTTATTAATGATGCTTATTATTTATATAGATCTGTCTAATATGCCAGTTCTAATTTAAGTTTATATTGCTAGCAGAAGTTATTATACCCATGTATTAAGACTAATTATTAATTTGAGTTTAAAAAGTTGATTCATTAAAACTGTTAAATTAGGCTTGGCTAAAATTTTCTTTGCACGCCTAATTTTGTTCATTCGATTCTGAGAATTATATATGGGACAGCGTAGCATCTTATTTATAGTTTAAAACTGGTAGCTAGAGTTTTTGAAGTTTAGTAACGGAGTTATGCATAACCTTTTTGATCCATTTGATACTTTAAGGGCTATTTTATAAATTAGTATTATTTCTGATATTTTTAATTTTCTAAATCTATTTCAATTTATTAACTTCTTCTATTTCCATATTATACTATTCTATCTTAGGATTTTCTTCATCAAAAAATTTCATGCTAGGACTTGAGCATATTGAATCAACTAAGCCAGACTCCTCACTAAGCTATTTGATTGCACGAAATGAAGGATTTCTAATTTACTTTCTTTTTGGCAATGTTTAGGGTATTAGTAAAGATATTTTCTGGTTGATCTAATCCGCTTATTTTTGATTAGGAGACATTTGTATTAATTATAGTTAGTGCGATTTTTTGGGTGATGGAGGTTTAAATTTGGATTTCGCTTTAGGAGAAGTGTCATCAGCTTTGGTAGTGCTGTTTTTGCCCTATAAGAACTAAAGACCACTTGAATTTCTCTGCAAACTCATTCTCCTTTGAAATTTTTATGCGTTATTCCTTAGGGACGGACTGAGATTAGCAATGTCTGATTAAGTATTTGATACATTACTAGGTCTCAATTTTGTAACTAACTACCTCAAAGTTCTAGTTCTTTGCTTTTTTACCTAATTCCTAATCTCTTGCTTCCGTCTAAATTCTATTATTTTAGTCATTTGCAAGTCTTTAAAAGGAAACTTATGCAATTTCTCTTCCATCGAGATCTTTTTATCAACATACTCATTAAACTTTTTTATTTCATTGGTAGGAGAAAATATGATTGATGCCAATTTGTGCCACTAATTTCTTTCAAGCGCTATTTGCTCGTCAGAAAGATAGAAGATTTCTTGAGTTTCGTCCTCTTGATTATCCTTTAGGAGATGAGCTATGTGATGGTTGGCAGCATGATGATTACCTCTCTTAAGTTTTATGAGATCTTTGATAGGATCCTCATATTCGAAAGGATCCTCATAGTTTATAAGTGGTATTCCGAATACTGGTCGCTTTAAGATCATAGAGTTTTAATATTGGCGTGCAGTTGGAGAATCACAGTCATCAAAGTGAATTTTTAATTTCCTTTTCTTGTTTAAGTCGTTTAAATTCATTGCTGTCTGTGAATTTCTATAATATTTTACTTATAACAAGGTTCAACTAATATAAAATTTACTTTAATTCCATTAAAGCTTTCTTGATTTATTGCAAATTTCAAATTTATGGGGTTTTGGGGTTTTGGGGTTTTGGGG